TAATGAAATTAAAATTTACAGACCATAAAGCTTGCACTGAAGTTCTTATTTCGATAGAAATATTAAATATTCTTTACTGAAGTTGTTCGATTGTATTCACTTCTGTTGAATACACCGTATTTTTTAAATGGCCCCAGAAGTAAAAGTCTAGCGGGTTTAGATCGGGAGATCTAGGAGGCGAGTTTATAGGAGCTTCTTGACCTCTCCCAATCCAATGGCTTGGAAAGTTTTGATCAAGCCGAAACGATTTAATTTTTTGCGGGCAAACTAGTGCCCCCTCATAATATTTTTAAAATTAGTGTGAACTTAATTTGTTAGTGAACGGATTTACAAAATAAATATTTAGTTTTAAGCAAACTAAAAAAATTAAAATTTTTTTTTGGAGGAAATAATACTGCGTCCATAAAGCCGCTTTGGTTTGTCTAAGAAGTTAACTACCGTATGTACAATAATGTAAAATTTCATAGTTTATTTTATTTAGTTTTTCATTTCACTATTTTCGATTTTCAACTTATTGTTTTTATTCCGTTTTACAATAGTATTTTCATTTAAATTCCATGTCACAATATCTAACATTAACAAATTTAGGAACACTATTCTTATGCCTGATTCATATTGTTTTTTAGTTAATGTACTCAATTAGGTTAATGCGCTAATAATACGTAATTAATATTGTTGAAATTTACGCAAACTCATTCATGTGCGAGTGTTCATCACTCATTTTTTCTTCCTTTACTTTTAGCACTAAACAAAGTTTTCTTACATTGCCACAGTTTGATTTCGTTGTTATATGGTGGGTTTAAAGCTAAAAGTGACCTAGTCCAAAATTGCCGCATTTGTGTTTGTTAACCAAATAATTTAAAAAAATTATAAATTTGTCATTAAAAACTGAAGGCTACACAAACAGGTGGGCTAAAATATGTTTTTAATGACCAAGTTTCCAAAAGAATTCTGATATAAGTTTTGCCTCCATTTAAAGTGCATTTACCAAAAATTTATATTTTAGGCTTGGTCAGTTTTAGCTTTAAGCCCCCGATATTTTCAGTGACACTATTATACTAAAGCAAAATAAGACAACTGTTGAGCTAATTTCCAAGTTTAACTTATCTCCGAGTGCTTAAAATAACACGTTTCAACATTTATGATAAAAAAAACTTCTACAGCATACAATTCTAGTGTTGTATGATAAAACAATTTTATTTATTAAGGTTCTCAGACAAGAAAGGTCATCTTCAAGTGAAACATTGCTAAATATGCACTCATAATTCCAAAATGTTTGGGCAAACGACAAAATCACTTACTTTGACGAAATGATAAATTGGATTTGCTCATTAGTTCTGCTTGGCGCTTTCAGAAGGGCTATGATAGGACTGCATTCAAAAATACTTATGCATACTCCCGACGTTCCTAAGGGCGTTTTGCATACACCACCATCAGGTTCTAATAAACACATACCAGATTTAGTGTGCAATGCGATTCATTTAAATAATAGCAAATATTTTCACACATGCTAAGTAAATGAACGGTTTAGCAAAGAACAGCAATGTAAAATTACTCCTTAAAACAGAGATTGGTACCTTCGAAGTAATATGAAGGATCCCACTTGTAAAGGGTGCGAAGATTTAGATTTTAAAATTGTCGACCATAATAATGATGGGATTTACGACAGGACTTTAATGTCCAAATTAGTCGACATGGAATGTAACTATTTTCACCTTGATTGTAAATGCCGATCCTTTAGCAAACCACTGTAAAAATTGTTTATTCAACTAGAAATTATTTTACTTTTGTTGTATTGCTAAACATTTACTTGATATTGTTTCTAGGTACTTACGTGCTTTTGCTCCATAAAATAACAAAACCAAACAAAAATACTTAAGCAGCCACATTTCATTCGACAACGACCTCTTAACTTATGAAAACGTATTAGTACTACAAATCCGTGTACTTGAAGATTTCGAAGAATGGCAACAAATACAGGTTTGAGTTTGCATCTTATAGCTGTCAGTGCTCCGTAGTTTGTTTTCGTGCTGGTAAACAAATGTTATAGTTTATAGTTACCACAGACTTTTACATTTTGTAGTTGTTCGCAAGATAATTTGCTAATAAGATGTGTTATTAAATACGTTATTCAAATACGCTATTCAATCAATTTTATTGCCTGTTTCATAAATTTTCAATTTTTACTTGACAAGCTGACTTTTTCAGCTATTCGACATTTGAATTGTTTGATATTTTCTGGAGGAATTTGCAAAAATTTGCGTCTTTAAATATCTCAAACAGAAAAATGTCTGGTGCAGTTATTGCATTTTCGCACACTCTCACCAGAACTTTTATAGAGTTTATAGCAGTGTTAGCTGCTGCTCCATTTTCCTATTTGATTTAATGATCTTCATTTTTCTATATCAGGAACGTCTCTAATATATTTGCCCAAAGTTCAGACGTTTATTCATTCTTTAAAGAAACAGGGGTCAAAATTGTCAATTTTTTTATTTTGAAAGTAGTTTATTATAATTTCTTGAGGATTTTCGTTTGACCGTTGCCTAAAGCGCTGTTTTTGGGAAACCTTCAGAAAGAATATTTTTTGTTTACCTTATGGCAATAAATGCATTAAAATATATCCCATGAATTTTATTACAATCCCTTATTTAAAGGGCTTTTGTACAGTTAAAATTCACGGTAACAGTTAATTTCGGCCTTGAAAAACTCATCGAAAATGTCTACTTGAAATGTGTTTATGACGATTATACGTAGAGTCAATGAATATCGGGTCAGTCAATAAAATTGTGGGCAGGTAATGGTTTTAATACTTTCAGAATACTGATATGAGCAGTATTGCAAGACGATTTGGTTACTACTCATTTCAGTAAGTATCGATAATTTCAGAATTCTCATATGAGTAGTATCGCAAGATGATTCGGTTACTACTCGTTTGAGTAAGTATCCATACTTTCTCAGTATCGTATCGTCCCTACTCTCAACGAGTACTCGGTATCCATCGGTATAAGGATTCGGGAAGGTACTGATTACTGGTATTATGGATTACCAGTTAGTCTGAGCGAGTACGAGTAATAGAGTATTGTTCTTTGTAGTCGAAGGTTAAGATGAGTGACTTGATTTTCCGAGAACGATTACTGATTACTTGAATACTGGTCTGGTAGCTTGGTTCGGTATTCGTTACTTCGGATACTGATGAGTAACGAGTACTCGAATACTGATTAGTTACTTTTTTCCCACCACTATTGAACATATGCAGGTGTATGAATTGTTCTTCGACTTCCAAAGTCTAAAGACAGACCATAAATATGCACAGAACCAATTTCATGGCATGGCTTCTATTGTACTGTTCGTATTGAGTTTATTCTAATGTAAGTTTCTGATTAAAAAACCGTAGTTATACTGAAAAATTAATAAGGATTAAAGGTAGACATTAAACTGAATGTTAAAACTAAGTGATATCCAAGTAACTTATTAGAAAAGTGACTGAATTAATTAATTTTAGCCCACTTTTGTGACAGGTGCCTATTTCCATGTTGATTAAAATTGCAAGATCCATAGAAGAAAATGATGTAAAGAAAAACGGACAGATTTATATGAGACATATAGAATTTGTTTCATCAAAATAGGTAGTCTTATTTTTGGGTCACTTTGTACACAAGTAAAAGTAATTTTGGAATGTGGTCCTAGTTGAACTCTATACGACATCAAAAGTTGGATCACCAACTGGTTTTCGCAAGGAATAAAATCTTGAGTAAGTGGGCTATCCTACACCTACATGCTCATTGCTAATTAACATACCATTGATTATTGCGGCAAGACATGACGATTTATTTGTCAAATCATTTAGTGATCAAAGTGGTCTTGAAGAAAAAATCGATCAGTGTTTCTTGAAATAATTTGCTTAAGTATTAGAACTTATGTTTGTCACGAATAATTACCTAACTCTACAGGATGTTTTACAATTATGGGCTGCTTTTTTGTCTAGAACGCGGCAAGCATTAAAGGTTTGAAAAAGGAACCAATTTGAAGAGCCTTCCGATATTGTGTTACGGCGTGTAACTATTACTGAAGAAGCAACAAAATATTTAACCACAGCAACAAAATATTCAAATTTGAATTGGCAGACAGAGCAAAACGTCCTAAACGTTCCAATTAAATGCTGAAAATAGTTTGCCTTAAAAACTTCTGGCTGTTTTAAGAAATGCGAACTGTGATTTCAAAATACCGACTATTTTTAATTAATTAGCCATAACTAACGAAAATTATTTAATTTATTTACGAAATACACTCTGTTGATCATCTGTGATCCTTCATTAACACACTTTTTTTATTGTAAATTTTACTTTTTGATTTCCAAAAAATCACAAACTTTTAAATTTTTGCAGACTTGGGCAA